TAAAATCAAAATTTGATTTTTTATCTTGTCCTTGGCCGTTTTAATCTCTGTCATCATCCTCACACCATCCTTTCTATATGTCACTACTGGTTATCAGATCCGTTGACCTCATTAAGTGTTAACACTTTTAACTCTCTTTAGCCTTCAAACTGCTCTTTTTTGCAGTAATGCTTGTAGAATACTGTAGTTAAAATCAAGTCATAAGAAAAAGAAATAAATCTCTTCAAATAAATCCATTGAATCCTCTTTCTACTTCTTTTCTTATTCAATGCTTGTCTAGGGGACTCCCATCTAAGCACTTTATATCATGTATATTGTCTTTGCATTCAGTACTCGTCTTCATGGCTATCGAGTTGCTTCCAATTAGGAGATTTTTTGTTTTGATGACTCAGACCTTGGGGAATATTTTTCTATGCATCACAAGGGTATGATTGCTAGAATTTGGTGGATGACATAACATTTGATGTATAAATAAGGTAAAACCAAGATAAGATTTCGGTGGTGAGGCGGAAAAGATGACGGAGTTAGGCGGAGTTCATGAAGAGGAGTGGAGAACATGTATGGCACATCTGTTACAAGACAGAATAAATGGTCACCATAAAGGGCTCTAGTGTGAGAGAATTATGGCACAACACTTGATTAAACATTCATAAACATTTTGGGATTCTGTGCATTATGTGGCAGTTATGATTTGTTATAGTCATGTTTATTGCTACTTGATATTTCAGTATTTTAGACAACTTAGAGAAAATTTAGTTAATTTAGACATCAAAAGGAAAGAAACAATAAATTAAGTGTTAGTTGTACATACACCTCTTGTAGTACTGATGTTTTGAACCTACTATCCCTGTAGTTTCATTGTTGCAGATAGGCTTCCTTGGTTAAATTTTTTTTTCTAAAAAATTTTTTATCTAATTTTTTTTTTTACCCACAGATAGTTTTACTGATTTCATCCCGGTACAATATTTGCCAAAAATTCACCAAGGGTAAAGTATTAAAAAATATACAACATGGATCTATCTTGAACAATGAAACTACAAGGATAGTAAGTTCAAAACATCAATTTTACAGGGAGTCTGTGTGCAATTAACCCTAAAACAAAAAATAATTTTTTTTTCCAGATACAAAAAGGAAAGAACATCAAAATATAAAAATAATTTTTTTTCTCAAATGTCTATATGAACACTATAAATATGATTAAACACGTGAACACGGACATAAAAAAAACGGTTAGAAGGCCTGCAATATTTACAAATAGTAGCATATATTTTTACTACCATTACTATATATATACAGACAAGTTACAAACGATGTGCTTGGTTCTTATAATGCTGATAGACGAAGGATAAGCTGATAAATTAGTTGGTTCTTAAGAATAATCCACAAGACAGTTTGGGAAAATATATCAATCTGTGGTTAAATAAAAATAATAATAAGATAGCTTGGCTAAGATGATATCATTGCTTCTCATCCTTGTGAGGGAGGTCGTGCATTCTAAAATCTCCATATGTAATTGATGAGGGATTTTCTAGTTAGCCCCCAGAAACATACCAACCGTATGTTGTTCTCACAACTGTTTGAGTCTTAGAAACTGCAAGTGATCATATTTGTATGAATCACTAGTTCTTTCCTCTAATTCCAGAACTTATTTGCCCTTCTATGAGCTTTGCATGCCCCATGGGTAAGAACACTAAACTAGAGAAAATCAAGGGAAGAAAATTCTTTATGGCAGCAAATATTTTAGCGATTAATAGTCATATTTTCACTTTATTTGTGACTGATAAACAAATCAAAACTAGCACTTCCTATCATCAAACAGTACTCAGTATACTTGGTTGTTAAAACATAATAATGATATTTCAGGCACTGAGGAAGGAACCATTGACAGTATACGGCGATGGGAAGCAAACAAGGAGCTTTCAATATGTCTCAGATCTAGTACATCTCTATTTCTTAATTTCTTCACTTCTTATCTCCTCATACTTAACGCAAAAAACAAAACTAAATCTTCAAATTTCAACATTGTAGGTTGAAGGTCTGATGCGACTAATGGAAGGGGAGCACGTGGGCCCCTTCAACCTTGGCAACCCAGGAGAATTCACAATGCTCGAGCTTGCCCAAGTGGTTCAGGACACAATTGACCCCAATGCTCGTATCGAGTTCAAGCAAAACACCGAAGATGATCCTCACAAGAGAAAGCCAGACATCACGAGAGCTAAGGAGCTTTTAGGTTGGGAGCCCAAGATCTCTCTCCGCAAAGGGCTCCCTCTTATGGTATCTGACTTCCGCAAGCGTATCTTTGGTGATCATTCATCCACAGATTCATCAACCTCTGCATAAAAGAAGAATCATAATGTAGAGACTTATCGAAGGTATACATTGATTAAGTACTCTTTGTCGATATCTGCTACTGCCAATGGACGCAGTTAGAAGCCTGGTGAGGACAGGAGAAGATTCAAAGGGGCATAGGGGTGATGGTTCTTTATATTAGCTTGTTTCTTTTGATTATTTTTGTTGAAGTCTAGTGGTGATATTTTTTTTCTCATGCTTATGAAGATACTGGTGTAGGTGGTTTTATTCCTTTTGACTGCAATTATATGATAATGTTTATTGATAGAAAAGTCTCTCTTCAAGTTCAGAAAATGTCTCAGCTACTGCTTATTTATAATTAGATATATGTTGTGAACAGACTCATGTCTTGCATGTGAATATGATGGACATGTGAATATGATGGATCAGATGAAATGGATGGCATGGATATGTATGTTGAGGATGGGAACGGTTAAGAGAGGGAAATGAGCAGTAATCAGAGGCGGATCCAGGAACTTTAGTCACCGAGGATAAAGATTACAAGCCTAACTTGTGTGTGATATTTAAACCTAAAATATTATGACACCAAAACCAAATATGCATATATATTATATCTACAAACAAAATATAGCCAATAGAAGTGTTATGTCAGAAGAATTCAACAGTGGTTCCTGCTTTCATATTTTTATGGTAAACAATATCGTATGAGGAAGTTTGCAGAATCCTTGGTATCGAGAGAGGTGCAGTGGTCTAGCGAGAGGAGAGAGGTGCAGTGGTCTAGCGAGAGGAGAGTTCGTGGTTGGAAGGAGGAATTAATGCCGGCGTATCGTATTGGTTGACAATCGTAGAAACAATTCAAAGGCGAAATTACAAAAGAGAACGGAGAGATTTTAAAAGAATTTGGTAGAAATTACAATACTTATGTAGAGATAGAGCAATGAAAATTGGGTAAATGAGTTGGGTTTGTCCCATTTAACATTTAGTTTCAAAGATACGAGGGGTCGGTTCAAGAGGCTGAAAGAGAGTGGGGGCAATTAAATACAAAATCTTGGACTAAATACTAAATATAGTTTTGTGGGTGGCAGTGGGGGCAATTGACCCCATTGACCCCACCGTGAATCCCCCAGTGACAGTAACGGTTCTCTATCGCTTGTTTCTAGTGGTGATGTATTTTTGTTATCCTTATCAAAGATACTGGTGTAGGTGGTTTGATTCCTGTGACAGCAATTATATGCATGATAAGGTTTATTGATAGAAATATCTCTTCAATTATAGATTTTAGTCACTTATTGCTTATTTATGATTAGATTTGTGTTATAAACGTACGTCATGGAACTCAGCATTGCATGGGGATATGATGAAGATTTGATGAAAAGGATGGCACGGAGTTAGGGATGCATTATTATCCAACCTACGGACGAGATATAAAAGGAGGCCATTGATTTTTATATGGAAAAGGGGTGCTGAATTAAATATCCTCATGTGTGGAATGGCTACTTTTTTTACCTCAAGGAATCGAAGAGTGTATGGAGCATGGAGTCATTTTTAGAAAGTGTAATCTCGCTCTCTCTTTCTTCTGTCATCTTTTCTAAAGAGGCGCGTTTTCTCGTGGGTGGAGATCGTCGATTTGAAGGAGTTTGAAATGATAAGAATATTCTCTTTCAACAAATGATTCTTTTAGTAAATACCCTTGAGTTCGCACCATAACTGCGTAATAACTTCTTTTAATTATTGTAATACTAGGTTTCATGCACGTGATTAAATACTATGATTAAGTATTTTTGATTTATTTCTTTACTAAAATTTGTTCCCCAATTCCGCTTTGATTGTTTTTGCTCACTTATGCCTTTAAACTTTAGTATTATAATTATTTATTTTCTTTAATGTTTGTTTGAATGGACTACATCAAATTTAAATTTTGCACGTTAATAATTGAATTGACAAAAAAAAAATTTAAATGTAATCTAAAACTAATTTGAATTTGCAGGTTATTTGGATCGACATGAAACCAAGCTTGACTTGAGAAGGTATACTGTTGTAAAAGTAAAAAACACTTGAAGAAATAGCGTTATAAAAGAAGGATGAATAATTAAAGTCAATAAGCCAAGATGATTAATTAGAGGTGGACTAGAATAAAACTAAAAAGAATATAAATTTTATTGCTAATCATTGATAGACTTCAGAAAAAAACCATAAAATAAATATTAATACTAACTCTAGTATACTTTTATATGATAAAAGTATCCGCATAACCATATAAAAATATTAAAAGAGTTCATGAAAATCCCTTCTAAAGATTCCTGATTTTCCTCAAAAAATTAAGTCATTCTATAAAATGTTCAATAATTTAAATTTGTGTTGTATTTATAAAGAGCCTTAATGGAGATACTTTTATTTTAGCAACTTGTTCTGAATGAACCATGCATATTAGCTTTAAAGTGTAATATTTTTCTTTATCGTGTTATATGAATGTTTGCATGGTTTACTTACACTACAAGAAATTACATCTTTAACGAAGGGATTTCCCTTCGTTAAAGAGCTAAAAACCTTCGTTATTGTATGCTAACGACGGGGAAAAATCCCTTCGTCACCCGTTGTTGAAGCCCTCTTCGCTAAAGGGTCACGAAGGGATATACTACCCGTCGTTATAGAGTCTATAACGACGGAACACATTACCGTCGTTAATATTTACGACGGTAATTATCACCGTCGTTACTATCAGTGACGGGGATATTTTCCCGTCGTTACCATCAGTGACGGGATATTTTCCCATCGTTACCATTAGTTACGGGGATATTTTCCCGTCGTTACCATTAGTTACGGGGATATTTTTCCGTCGTTGAAGACTAATTAATGACGGTTGGATACCGTCGTAAAAGTTCTCATAATGAATAATTAGTAACTCATTAACAATGGTGCTTTCCCTTCGTTGATGAACAAAATACGGTTTATAAAACCGTCATTGTAGACTACGAATTTTTAATATACATTAATAATAATTTTTCCATTCATAGGCAACTATCATATTATTCTCAACCTGACACTAAGATTCACAACACAAATATATTAAAAATACCCAATAATGAATAAAATAGAAAATAAAAATTTCATTCATTAATAACATCAATAAATAAAATTCCACCATCCTCAAATATTCAATACTAATAACAAGAGTTAATATCATAATTATTCCAAAAAAATACATGAAACTATCTATAACAAATTAAAATAAAAGTTCGGGAAAGACACATTCTTTCATCTCTAATCATCGTCAAAAGAAGACTCGAGCTACCCCACTCTCCTAATCTTGCATGGATAACCTGAAAAATTTAAAAAAAATCAAATAATTAAGATATATCAATTAAGCAAATATTATCTTATTAAGTAAAATTCACAACCAAGAGGACACATTCATATCCAACGCATATTTGATACTTGCACATTTGGATACTTTGCTAGATAGTCCTAGTAGTATCCTAAAATTATATTAATATTCAAAAAACCGTTAGTTACAAATGCTAGCTTGTCCTTACTTTCGATTTTTCTAGCATCTTGCATTTATCACCCTTAATAAATCACTGTTTGTAGGAAGCATTAACTGTTAATATCTTAGATGACAAATTGTCCCCATTCCTATTCACAAAAACTGTGTGATTGTGATGAGAAAAAGCAGAAGTAACTAAAACATTTTACACAATCACTACTGAAACCAAAATCATTTAGAAGCATGTGCTCTTGATTCTTCAGTTGTTCATCTAACATATCGGGTGCCTTTCTCCAATTTTTTTGTATAAAGAGACATAATACACACTAGAAATATGTGACAAAACTATGAGCATGGTCTGATATTTTATTGTAACATAGAGATTGATGAAATAATGCACTACACATGAATATACCAGTTAACTATAAGATGAGACCCTTTCCAGATTATATGGAGTAATCCAAATACAAAGAAAGTACTAAAACATACCCTTGGAATCTGAACCCCAATGTGCAAGACCACAGTTCACATAATCCTTCAGAATATTAAATCTCTCCCACGAACTAATAATGTCCCAATGCCGTTGTTCCTTAATTTCAGTAAATATCCACGGCTGCCCATGGGTTAGTAATAGTCATTTAATTGCAAGAAATAATAGAGACCTCAATTCATTGTCTTCTCATTTGCATAGCATTCTACAAGTACCAAAGATTGCTCAGCATAAATTATAAAGAAAAAACACTTCACCAAAAACAGAGAATGAGATATGATCTTGGAACCTCACTTGTTTGAGACATTTAAAGAAATGGCGTCGTATCTCTCTTTGTAAGTCTACTGGCAAGTTTGCAAGTAGCTCTTCCTCATCTACACCTCGAGTTGCAGCCCGACTAAATCTTTATGCTTGCCTCACCTGCCTGAATAATTCAATTCAAAACAAAAAAATGATAAGAAATACTCGTAACCACCAACCACATACTATAGCTACCACTTGTAATCAGTAACCAATAATCAAAATTTTTGGTTTTAGAATTTCTAGTCTGTTTTGGTTTTAGGTTTTCTATATATATGGAACGTATTAGAAGAAATTAGAGATCAGAAAAAGAGGGTTTTGAGAGAATTATTTAGAGAGATCTCAGAGAGATTAGATCCTATTTGTAGGCATTGTAATCTTCTTTAATATTAATCAAAGAATTGTGTGGTGTGGCTTCCCAGGACGTAGGCACGATTGTCGAACCTCGTTAAATCTGGTGTGTTTTTTCTTGTTTACTTTCCTACAAGTTCTTTATCTTTTATTTGCTGTGATTTTTTCTACTTTCCTACACTACAAGAAATTACATCTTTAACGAAGGGATTTCCCTTCGTTAAAGCACTGAAAACCTTCGTTATTGTATGCTAACGACGGGGAAAAATCCCTTCGTCACCCGTTGTTGAAGCCCTCTTCGCTAAAGGGTCACGAAGGGATATACTACCCGTCGTTATAGAGTCTATAACGACGGAACACATTACCGTCGTTAATATTTACGACGGTAATTATCACCGTCGTTACTATCAGTGACGGGGATATATATTAATATTCCAAAAAACCGTTAGTTACAAATGCTAGCTTGTCCTTACTTTCGATTTTTCTAGCATCTTGCATTTATCACCCTTAATAAATCACTGTTTGTAGGAAGCATTAACTGTTAATATCTTAGATGACAAATTGTCCCCATTCCTATTCACAAAAACTGTGTGATTGTGATGAGAAAAAGCAGAAGTAACTAAAACATTTTACACAATCACTACTGAAACCAAAATCATTTAGAAGCATGTGCTCTTGATTCTTCAGTTGTTCATCTAACATA